TATGGCTTAGGGCTTGCATGCTGTCCTGGCTACCATCTGGCAGTCTGTTACCATTCCCTGTGACCTGTTGAGGGGTGTGGTCATCCCTCTCTAGAAGGGGAAAGGGGATCGACAGGACTGCAGCAATCTCCGAGGCATCACAATGCACAGTATACTATGTAAGGTTCATGCTCATATCCTTCTGAGACATATCAGAGACCACTTGCTGAGACAGCAGAGGCTGGAGCAATCTGGATTCACTCCTGGTAAGTCCACAATAGACTGTATCCTAGTGTTTTGAGTCACTGTAGAGTGTTGTCGTGAGTTCAGGTGTGGGCTGCTTGCAGCTTACATCGATCTCAAAGTGTTTGATACACTGTATTGGGAATCATTGAGAGGAATTCCAAAAAGGATTTTTTGACTAATAGCAAGCCTGTATACTGGTACTGAGAGTGCTGTAAAGTGTGGTGGGGGCCTCTCGAGCTTCTTTCTTGTTAGATCAGGAGTGATTCAAGGCTGTGTCCTTGCACCAGCACTTTTCAACATTTCCATGGATTAGATACTGGGCAGAGCTACTGTCCAAAGTCATTGTGGAGCAGCTCTGGGCAATATCAAGGTTACTGACCTTGACTTTCCTGATGTTGCTATTCTGAGTCCTTGGAAACCCTAGCAGTGGCTCTGAATGCATATAGCAATAAAGTGAAGCCCCTGGGTGTAGAGAGCTCTTGGACCAAGACCAAGATCCAAGATTTTGAGGACGCTATGAGAATCTGTTCAAATAGTACATGCTCGCAGCGAGGACATTGAAGTCACAGAAAGCTTGGTAGTGTAGATCATAAGTCTGGGCTGTCAGACCAGGAAGTCAGTTGTTGGATTGGCTTGGCAGCATGGGTCATGAACTCTCTCGACAAGAGTATTTGGAGCTGCCAGTACCTGTGCAGAAGGACCAAGCTACTTGTTTTCAAGGTCCTGATAATGCCGGTTTTATTATACGGTAGTGAAACCTGGACGTTACCCTATGCCTTGGAATCTCGTCTTGATGCCATTTGTAGTAGGTCCTTGCACCGGATCATGGGGTACCGTTGGTAGAACCACGTGTCCAACCAATGGTTGCACTGTGAGACTGGCACAGGACCTGTTACCTGCACAATCTGTGATTGCCAACTCAGGCCATATGGTCACTTGACTCGCTTCTACAGATGATCCTTCTTTGTTGTAAGAATCGAAGCGCCGCGTCGCCTGGCGGCCTGCCGAGAGGGACCCCCACGAGTGGAAACGAAGGGTGGGTGCGGCTATGCGCCCCCTTCGGCGTTAGCTCTAAATGATGATATATATATATATATATATATATATATATATATATATATATTATATATAATATGCATACATACATATATATATATATAAATTATAGATAGATAGATAGATATATATAAGTATAGAGATATAAGATAGATGAACAGATAGATTTACGTATATACAAACACACACATATTTATATACATTATATATGTGTGTGTGTACATATATATATTGTGTGTGTGTGTGTGTGTGTGTGTGTGTGTGTGTGTGTGTGTGGTGTGTGTGTGTGTGTGTGTGTGTGTGTGTATATTATATAATATATATATATATATATATATATATATATATTTAATATATATTATATATATTATATTATTGTATAATATATTATATATTATATTATATATATATTTATATATATTATATATATATATTATACACATATATGTAAAATATAATATATATATATTTAATATATATATTTATTATTATATAATTATCTATCTAATCTATACATCTTATCTATCTATCTATCTATCTATCTATATATATATATATATATATTATATATAATATATATATTTAGATATATGTATGTGTATGTCTATTTCTTTTATCCTTCTGTCTGTCTCTCCTATTGTCCACAATATCATTTAAAGAAATTATTTAAGAAGAAATGCTATTGTCCCTGAATTGATTAGCGATATCAAACGCCTGACCCAAAAGCCTGTAACAATAATAAATAATGATAATGATAAAAGAAAACTAAACTTTATGGAGTCCTTTGTTGATTACTAATTGCAGATAATTGGACGAAACTGTCATTTCACGCGATAAATTGCCATAACGAAAAGGAATGCGTCGTTTTACTGGAGTGAGGACGAAAACATGCGAACACTTAAACTATGAGGGTGAGTAATCCATGTGGATAAATAGATAAGTATAAAAAAAACACTTATAAACTAAGAGTGAGTGAGTAATTCATGTGGATAAATAGATAGGTAAAAAAACAAACAAACAAACATAAACTATGAGGGTGAGTAATTCATGTGGATAAATAGATAAGTAAAAAAAACACTTATAAACTAAGGTGAGTGTGTAATCCATGTGGATAAATAGATAGGTAAAAAAAAACAAAAAAAAAATCATAAACTATGAGGGTGAGTAATTCATGTGGATAAATAGATAAGTAAAAAAAAACACATAAACTAAGAGTGGGTGAGTAATTCATGTGGATAAATAGTTAAGAAAAAAAATGTGGATCTAGAGAAAAAACAACTATGAGGGTGAGTAATTCATGTTGATAAATAGATAAGTAAAAAAAAAATAATGATAAAAAAAAAATAAATGAGGCTACGCGAGACTCAAAGATAACAGCAAAGCAATATGAAAAGAGAAACAAGAAAACTGGTGTGAACATGAGCAAAAGAAGGGGGGGGGGGACAGCAGAAGTAACAAGAAAAAAATATATATCAAGAGTAACGAAAGAAAGAAGAGAAAAGAAATGTAAATAACAATAAAAAGTACATAAAAAAAGAATATCAACAATAAAAAAGATCAAAGGAACGAAAAAAGATAAATAACAAAAACAACAACAAAAGAAAATAAAAGAAAAAACAACACGAAATGTTAATCATCCTTCAAAAAATCCACTCAGTTCTTCGCCAAACAAAAAAACAAAAAAACATCTTGACACATTAATCAAATTCCCTGAAGGCGAATCGAACACCACGAACAATCAGCGAAAAGTACAATAACTAACATGATTGGAATTCTTGTAGGGTTTTCGATTCGCCAAAAGACAAGAGAACCTAAATTAGGCCCAATATATAACAGGATATTAACCAAGGATACTAAAGTCTATTGTTATGGTCTAATCAGCTGATCCTGTCAAGGGCATCGTGAATAACTGTGAATGATAATGAATGTGCTAGACGGTGGATGTGGATGTGTGTTTTATGTGGACTGTGTGTGTGTGTGTGTGTGTGTGTGTGTGTGTGTGTGTGTGTGTGTGTGTGTGTGTGTGTGTGTGTGTGTGTGTGTGTGTGTGTGTGTGTGTGTGTGTGTGTGTGTGTGTGTGTGTGTGTTCTTACCTAGTTGTTTCTATACGAGAGAAGAGCTAAGCTCGAGTGGTCCCGTCTGCTAAATTTAAATTGGTTAAATCGGAAGGATATCGAATTTCAGTAAACAAACATGAAATGCTACTAAAATGGAAGAACAACGTGCAAACTAATCAGGGAAGCCAAATTTAAAGCGCGGAAAGACATAATTACGTCATAAATAAAAAAGTGCCGAAATTTGTCGCTCGCAAAGTCCCATTCTTCGCTTATCGCCAAAGTCAATGTAAACAAACCACGTAACTCAGAAGATGGCGCTCAAGAAAGTAGTGCGTGTGCTACTATCTATCGTTTGATAGACATTTACGCGTAATTTCAAGTTGATTTTCGACACTTGCTCTCCAAACGATATTAATTACCATTATATTAATTCATTTAACTAATTTCTATAATCTATTCACATTTTACACTCTTCAAAATTTGGTGTGACGTCACTGTATAGCGCATCGATACATTCAAATATCCCTAAAAACGGTCATTTTTTCAGGGAAAGTTTGGCTCATCTTTGCGATAAATCGGTTTTCTTTACAGATTTACAATGAGAGCTTGTGTGGGAGACCTATGTATGCCCCCCCCCTCTTAAAACACCCGATTCTCCACGTGTCCCTCAAGATCGTTGGGGATAGGGGGAAAATTATAGGAAAAAACGAACATTCCATCTCCTTTAGAATTACCTTAAAATTGTCGTGTAACTTGAACATTAATGAACATTTTTTTACACACACTACGCTTTTTTGTGTGTGTATGAGCACGCGCGCATGCACAAATATATACATAAGCCTATATCCACTGTAGTTACACAAAAAGGAATGAGAGAGAGAGAGAGAGAGAGAGAGAGAGAGAGAGAGAGAGAGAGAGAGAGAGAGAGAGGAGAGAGAGAGAGAGAGAGAGAGAGAGAGAGAGAGAGAGAGACGGATGAAGACTTAAAGACACATAAAGAGAGGGAGAGAGAGACAGATGAAGACAGAAAGAGATGAAGAAAGGGAGAGACAAATGAAGACAGAGAAAGAGAGAAAACGAGAGGGAGAGACAGATGAAGAAAGAAAAAGACAGAGAGGATCGATGACTCACGCCTCTCGGCCCTCTTCCTTCCTCTACGTGACCGCGGGATTTCATATTTTATCTTACATTCTGAGGAAATATCTTGTTCTCTCTCTCTCTCTCTCTCTCTCGCCTCTCCTCTCTCTCTCTCTCTCTTCCTCTCTTCTTCTCTCTCTCTCTCTCTCTCTCTCTCTTCTCTCTCTCTCTCTCTCTCTTCTCTCTCTCTTCTCTCTCTCTCTCTCTCGTTTTTAGGCGATTATGTGTAAGACAAACAGACAGAATGTGAAAAAAAGCCTGGCAGCAGACAGAGTATAAAAAAGAGATAGACAGACAAAAGAAAATAAGAAAAATATAATCACCTCACACACACACCATCCCACAAAGACACACCACCTCACCTCACCAGACGCATCACCACCAACCACCACTCACCATCACAGACGCACCCCTCACCACCAACCACACACACTCATTCACCACCAACTCACCACTCACCATCCACCACTCCACCACCATCACCAACTCACACACCTCCCATCACCACCCACCACTCACCTCAACCTGCCCCATGGTTGACGAGGAATTGCAAGGCGCAGGTCTGGTTGTTGGCGGCCGCGTGGTGCAGGCTCGTCCAACCCTTGCTATCTCTGACACACATCCGATCAGGGTCAGTCTCGAAAATCCGTTCCATCTCTGTCACGTTCCCTTTGGCTGCCATCTATAAGGAGGGAGAGAATAAAGGGGAAAAAATGGGAGATAGAGAGTAAAAGTGGATGGGATAGAATGAGT